CACTTGGTCAGGTCAGGGCCCCGTCCTCGAGGCTCGAAGTTCGAACGAGAGCTCGAAGCGGCACCGCGACGACGACCACGCACAGCGGGCCAAACCTCTTGACGCGTTTTGAGCTCCAGAGTCACTAAACAGGACTCGAACCGTAGCGTGTGACCCCCACCAATGGATTCCTCGTTCGGAGAGCAATCCATTGGTGGGGTCACACGCTCGGTTCGAGTCCCATTTAGCGACTCTGGAGCTCAAAACGCGTCTAGAGTTTCGGCCGCCTCCACCGGTCTTCTGGCCCACTGCACAGTACCGCGACGACGGCGACGGCACGGGGTGGCACCGCGACGACTAGACGTCCTACCAAACGGACGAACAGCTCGCAGGGGGGACGCGATAACTTCCGGCTTAAGCGTTTCCCCGAACTCCTAGCAGTGAAAGAAAGAGACACGTGGAGGTCAGCCTGCAACCGACTGATTCCGAGAGTCGTTTTCGTCGCCCTGTCTCTCTCGCACCCATACAGGATGCCCCAGGCCAGGGGTGCGTGGGAGACAGAGCGACGAAAACGACTCTCGGAATGAGTCTGCTGGTCGGCCGACTCGAGGTAACCGGGGCGTGTTCCCGGCCGTCTCGACCGTCTCGGCCACACAGAGGGCCAGAAGACCGGCGGAGGCGGCCAAAACTCTAGACGCGTTTTGAGCTCCTGAGTCGCTAAGTGCGACTCGAACCGAACGTGTGACCCCACCAATGGATTGCTCTCCGAACGAGCAATCCTTTGGTGGGGTCACAGGCTCAGTTCGAATCCTGTTTAGCGACTCTGGAGCTCAAAACGCGTCTAGAGTTTTGGCCGCCTCCGCCGGTCTTCTGGCCCACTGTGGGCCACCTCGGCGACTAGACCGGACTAGGCCGGCGGCCACGTGGCGCCAGGCGGCGTGGCGACGTACCGAGAACGCGGAGCAACGCGGAGCAACGTGACCTGCGATAAAGTGGCATGCGATGCGCCCGAGTGGATGCGCCCCGGACACCATGCCGAGGGTCGTTTTCGCGTCGCTCCGTCGTCTCTCGCGCTCGTGGGGCGTGCCGCGTCGGCGGGAGAGGGACGGAGCAACGAAAGCGACTCTCGGATGAAGTGAGACTGCCGGCGGCCATGGCGGCCCTGGCGGTCAAGAACAAGTGCAAATGCAGCATCTTGCATAGCATTGCAGCGCGGCCTGCAATCACGGTCGTGGTGGATCCGCACAGTGGGCCAGAAGCCGGTGGAGGCGGCCAAAACTCTAGACGCGTTTTGAGCTCCAGAGTCGCTAAATGGGTCTCAAACCGAACGTGTGACCCCACCAACGGATTGCTCTCCGAACGAGGAATCCATTGGTGGGGTCACACGTTCGGTTCGAGTCCCATTTAGCGACTCTGGAGCGCAAAACGCGTGTAGAGTTTTGGCCGCCTCCACCGGCTTCTGGCCCACTGTGATCCGCCGGACCTTGAGCTGCGCTGCGTACGCCTCGGCGTAGCCTGGCGTAGCCACGCACATTCCGAGGGGGAACACAATGTGGAATTTGGTCAAATTTGACCACATTCCACATTCAGGTGGAAAAAACGTCAGAAATCTTGCACATCTTTGCACGTTCACACAATCATATGTACACAAAATTTTTACAGTGGGCCACCTCCTGGCACATTCCCTCCGTGCGTGCCGGCATCCACGCAGCGGTGCACTGGTAACTTTGTTCTGGACCATACGCTCTGGTCCTCAGCGCGGGAAGGGGGGGTTATTAGGCAACAGTTAAGGAATTCCGTAGTGAAGTACAAATCATGTTCATGGCGCTGAAACCTCGCTCGCACTCAGCTCTCAGCTGAACTAATTGAGAAGGTCTGAATTAGAGCTTTTGAGGGCTCGAGTGCAGCAGGTAATTGTTCATTATCATCATCAAACTCCCTAATTGCATTGACCGCTTCCGTGGCGTTAAGGTAGTTCGCGCGGGGCATACTAGTCAAGCGAGAGTTGAAATTTAAAAATTTGGTTTCCAGACCTTAAAAAAATTACAAAAAGGTCCCATTCTATTTTTAACTCAGAATTAAATTCGTTTGGCCCATCTAGGCAGCGGCGAAGCGAAGAAAAGAATTTTAACTCTTAATTTAGTTGTGCACTTGACTCCAGTGTCGGCTGCTAAAACCGCAATTTTATGTCTTTTCTCACAAATAAGTCCGGTGACGCGCTATTTTCTCTCTTTCATTTCGTAAAGTGACTGAAAATACTATTAAAGGTATGCTTTTTATCGGTTTGACTTTACTCCAAGCATTTTAAAAATGAAATATACCGGGTTCGGATGGGCAACATAACCCTACTCCCATAAGCGGCAATGCTATTCTCGGCTACTTTTAATCGCGTATTAACACTGATTTTGCCCGGTGACCGGGTTTGAAACTTTGCAGGCGATTAAGTCACTATCTTAGGAGCCTACTCTCAAATTTTCAACTCTTTGCGTTTACAATAGCGTGGTCGCTCGAACTACCTTAAGCCCAAAACGCGCGCAGAGGTGGCAATGGCCCGCCTGGGCCCCAAAAGTCGAGCGTTTGGCCAGCGTCTGGCCTAAAATGAGCGTATGGGCGAGGAAAATGTTCTGGACCATACGCACGGCCGAAAAATTGTTCTGGGCCATACGGCGTATGGCCGCGTATGGCCTCCAGTGCACCGCTGCATCCACGCCCCCGTGTAGGCCGGCATCTTCTCTTCTTGAAGCTGAATGAGCGCCAACCCCTCGGCCAGCCCTCATCCTTGCCATGGAGCGTAGGAATCACACACACACACACACACACACACACACACACACACACCACTCACACACAACGCACACACGCACGCTCGCGCTCAGACTGACTTTTGCCAAAAATCCAGGCTTTTTTTGGGAAAAGTCCGGCTCTTAATGCCACTTCGTCCCCTTAAAAGAACACTTCTGGCGTCCCTGTTCGAGAAGAAGATGCGAGGAAATGAAACTGCCGAGCCCACACTGTGGGCCACACAGCACACAGCAGCCGAGGAGGCTGATTCCGAGAGTCGTCGCTCTGTCTCTCTCGCACCTAAAGGGGACGCCCCACAGTGGGCCAGAAGACCGATGGAGGCGGCCAAAACTCTAGACGCGTTTTGAGCTCCAGAGTCGCTAAGCGGGACTCGAACCGAACGTGTGACCCCACCAATGGATTCCTCGTTCGGAGAGCAGTTCATTGGTGGGGTCACTCGTTCGGTTCGAGTCCTATTTAGCGACTCAGGGGCTCAAAACGCGTCTAGAGTTTTGGCCGCCTCCACCGGTCTTCTGGCCCACTGTGGGACGCCCCATGAGTGCGATAGAGACGGAGCGACGGAAACGACCCTCAGTCTGCGGGGGAATGCCAGTTCGGCACCTCGCGGCGCTTGGCTGCGCTTGACACTCTTCGATGCGGCCACTGCGAGGCGCCGGCTGCAGCCTGCTCTGTAAAAAGAGAGAAAGGCTTTCGCCTTATCGACGGTGTGGGCGCGCCGACCACCGGGGGACCAGGGCGGGGCGAACGCAAGCAAAAGGCGAGCCCAGCCGCGGGTCTCTCCCGGCGAGGGGGCACCGCTTTCACACTGGATAAGGTGGTCTAAAAGTGTACCGCCAGTATTTTCGTGTCGCGTCCCCGTCGACGATGAAAATAACGAGAGATTGGTTTTACTTGGGCAGGGCTTCGCCGAGGCTTCGCTGGCTTCGCCTTCGGCGTCTTCCGGGCCGCGAGACCTTGGCCTTGATTGCGTGCTTATCGAATGCTTGTTGTTGGTCCTCTTCCCCCTCCCCTACCACCGCCTCCGCCCAGGCTCACCCCCTCGACTGCCCTACTTTTAGAGCGTCTCACTTTCACGCCACATTTTGTTTACTCTCATTTTCGATCTCGGATCCACAGCGTGTTGTCCACCGGAAACGGGGACAAGGAAAAAAGGGGGAGGGGGTCAAATTTCACTCCGGCGGACTTTGTAGTCATTGCTGGGTCGCGTCTAAATGGAGCCACGTGCGCAAATGGCGGTGGCCGCGGAGCGTGGTCCCGAAGCGTCGCGAAGGCTCGGCCACGACGCCACCCCGTGGCTGTGTGACGTGGTTCCGGACGGCGCCGTCGGCGCTGCTCAGTGGGCCAGAGTACCAGTGGAGGCGGCCGAAACACCTAGACGTGTTGGGCTCCGGAGTCGCTAAACAGGACTCGAACCGAACGTGTGACTCCACCAATGGATTCCCCGTTCGGAGAGCAATCCATTGGTGGGGTCACACGCTCGGTGCGAGTCCCATTTAGCGACTCTGGAGCTCAAAACGCGTCTAGAGTTTCGGCCGCCTCCACCGGTCTTCTGGCACACCCACTGTGCGGCGGCGCGCCGCGGCGGAGCGCCTGCGAAGTCGGAGGTAGGCAACACTCCAGCACCGGTGCGCGGCGGGCCGGGGCTGACGTGCCTCCTACCATTACCACTAAGGGCTAGACCACACATGATCGTATGCCTTTTCGGGCCCGACACATGCTCGCCTGCACTGCAAAACGAGACAAGGCCGTCCTCCAGGCTGACGGCCGCCAGGTTCCCGACTCTTACTTTTCGATCTCGCGCAACCAGCGCAAAGTCCCCCTGAAAGAAGCAGAAGGAAATCGGGAAAGAAAACTCCCCCAATGAACCTTTCCGCTGACGCCGCGGTGCGAGTGCATGGGCCGCCGGCGTGTCGGGGTGCGCCTCGGCCTGGGCCTGGGCCGGCTTGTCATCGCCCAGGAATGCAGCGAGAATCCGCCAGCATCGTCGGCCACCTCCCGCGGACATCGCGCCGAATGCACGCCAACGGCACGGGACGGTGCTCTCGGGGTGTACGCCGGACCCGCCGCCGCCCCGCCCCACGCCGCCGGGCCGCCACCGAGGCGCCCCGATCATCTCACGTGGACCCGGCGTGGCGAGGGCGGGGCACGGCGGGGCGGGGTGGGCGGGGCGTACGCCAGCATAAAGGCATGGCGATGGCGGCGACGGCCAGTGTGTGCGCGGAGGGCTCCTAAACAACCTGCAGCAGCAGACCCGCTTCTCTCTCCCTCCCCACGTGGTGTGCGCGGTGCAGTCTCGCCAACCTACCTACATGTGCAGCGGAAGCAGTCCAGTCATGGCAGCCAACTTTACGAACGTTGAGGTGAGTCACTGTTCATGTTCCACGGAATTTTTTCCGGATCTTGGTGTGAAAGAGGGGAAGCCCCAACCAGAAAACAGAAATAGGTGAAAAAGACTTTGGAATCGTATCTTTGCTTTTGGAATTTTAAAGTACCGCGTCGCAATATTCATGAGGGCGGTGTTGATTTTCGCATTAAAATATTCAAATTTTAATTTCGAAATTTACTATGCACTGGGATTGCAGCACATCCTGGTGCCTCTTCTGTTGAAAGTGGAAATCTCTATCGTACAAAAATAAGGTTCGCAGGGATAGCTATATGTGGCACACAGTGCAGTTTAAGCCCGCCTCCCCAATTTCAGTGTTTTTCTGTGTTTTCACGAACAAACAAGATTCCTTGAGCTAACGAAATCGCAGCCAAAGATACCATTGTAATACGATGACCCTGGGGTTGGCATTTTTCTACATTAGTCAGGATTACAGCCCTCCCTATTCGTTTGCGTCCAAGTCGGTTTCGGAAACTTACAACAGAAATTTTCAAGGGGATGTTTTGTAAAAAAAAGTGCGGTAATGTTTTTGGCTATTTTTGAATAAAATTAGCACAAAGATGGGTCCAGCCATGCGACGGGCGCAACAATTTTAATCCAGCAAGAAGTATTGTCGGGGAGTTTAGTGAGTACGTGACTCCTGGCGCGCATAGTACTACTGCCGGCCGCGTTTCTGGACAGCCCCGAGTTGGCCCCAAGGGCTCATCTCAAAATCACAACCCTGTCCCCCCCCTCCCCCTTTCGAGGTGCACAGACTTGCTGTTTTTGCTCTTTTCCAACGGTTTCTTGTTTTGACTCCGATGCACCCCCTTCCACCGGGATGTCATCGGACTGCGTTGTAAACAAGAGTTTAACTAGATTGTCTGCCGGCGCCGCGCCTTGGCCGCCTCGTCGTGACCTCCTTCTGCATTCTTCAGAGACAAACACTTTCGATTATGCGTCGACCCGCGAACCCTGCCAACCCCCTCAAATTTTCTAATCAATTCGATAAAATTCAATCAGCGCGTTCCACCGATTTTTATTCTTCAACCTACTCGCGATGGCCTTTGGGTTTTCAAAAATATCCAGCGATTCGGAATGCCAAACGGGGCGAATTATCGTGAAGGTGACTTTCTAGACTATCTCGGCTACCGTGACTCGTCTTCTGGGGCGGTGCGGGGCGCGGCTCCCCCAGTGCGCTGCGTGCTGCGATGCAAATTGGAAAAGAGAGAGAGAGAGGGAGAGAGAGAGAGAGAGAGAGAGAGAGAGAGAGAGAGAGAGAGAGAGAGAGAGAGAGAGAGAGAGAGAGAGAGAGAGAGAGAAGATGAACCCGAACAGAGAGGCACTTCGCAGTGAGGAAATGAAATGTAGCATCATCTTTCGCGGGGGTCGCGGTGGGTCACTATCCGTTGCAGCGGCAGCAAAAAATAAAAAAATAAAAACTTTAAAAATAAATGGCACTGCGATATTGCAATTCACGGCGTGAAAATGTGCTGTGCATGTGTCCGGGGTCCGCGTGGTGTGTGGTGGTAGTGGCACCGTAGTGCGGGGGCTGCATGCGTGGGGATGGCCGGGCTGGCCGGACTGGCGCCCCTCCCCTTCCCCCTCCCCCTTCGCTAGGGAGACGTCTCAACGGCCCGCGCCACCGCTCCGAGACCCTCGCCACGCCGCCGGTGGTATCTGTCGAGACACTCCCCGCGCTTGTAATTGAATTGAATTGCAATATACATCGTGCTGTCCCCACTGAATTGATTGAATAGCGGCGATAACACACACTCACGCGCCTCGCGGCCAGGGCAGGGGGTGGAGGGCAAAAAGGGGGGAGGGGGCACCCGGTCCCTGCCACTACCGGGTGCTACCTCGTGAGGGTGCGCGAAACAATGCGGAAAGAGCGGGCCGCAGCGCAGGGCGCAACACCCATGAAGAAAGAAAAACTTTCTAAAAAATAAAAATAAGGGAACAACAAAAAAGTTACAACGATGATGGCCTGCTGGCCTCGCGGGATCACGTAACACACAGTGGCCTGGCCAGAGTACAAATCGATAGTATCGCGGCATGGAATCGAAGAATCGAAGCTAATAAAAGGCTGCAAACAACGGAGGCGGCGGAGAGGACGGTCTTGGCGGAGCGTGTGCCCTGGGCGGCTAGGCCCGAGATGGAGAAGCTCCCGGGCCAGGACAGACTCATTCCGAGAGTTGTTTTCGTCTCTCTGTCTGTCTCGCACTCATGGGGCGTCCTGTATTGGTGCAAGAGAGACAGAGCGACGAATACGACTCTCGGAATCAGTCTGCAGGCGCTCGACGAGGACGCGGAAGGAGAGTACTTTGTACAAGAGGTCGAGTGGGTACAGGACGTTGAGTAAGGTGCAGGTGGACGAGTGGGTGCAGGACATTGAGTAGGTGCAGGACATTGAGTAGGTGCAGGAGGTCGAGTGGGTGCAAGACGTTGAGTAGGTGCAGGAGGTCGAGTGGGCGCAGGACATTGCGTAAGTGCAGGTGGTCGAGTGGGTGCAGGACATTGAGAAAGAGCAGGTGGTCGAGTAGGTGCAGGTTGTCGGTTGGGTACAGGAGGTCAAGTGGGTGCAGGGACTCAAGTAGAGGTACTTCAACTGCAGCCAGCCAACCCAGCCAACCAGCAGGTCAGGGTGCCTGGAAACAAAGCCACCAGATGGCGGAGGGACTTTGAGCTGCGAGACTTGTTCTATTTCCCAACAACGCCCTCCAAAAAATAAGAGCAAAAAGTGACGTGACTCAGATTGGCGGGAGATTGGCGGGCTCGCTTTCATGTCAGCTGCTCTGCCGGCTCTCGTCGCTCCGTCTCTCTCGCACCTACACGAGACGCCCCACGAGTGCGAGAGAGACAGAGCGATGAGTCTGCTGCTGCCGGCTCCGCCAATTGGACACGCTTCCACGCCTCCGCGCGATACCGCACGTCCACTTTGACGGCGGCCTTAACCCTTTCCCGCCAAGGACCCGCATCGTCCCGCCTCGTCCCGAGGGCGGCACTCGGCAACAGTGTCGCGGCCGCGTGGCCGAGGCGCCAGGCCAAGGCGCCACACAGTGGGCCAGAAGACCGATGGAGGCGGCCAAAACTCTGGACGCGTTTTGAGCTCCAGAGTCCCTAAATGGGACTCGAACCGAACGTGTGACCCCACCAATGGATTACTCTCCGGACGAGGAATCCATTGGTGGGGTCACACGTTCGATTCGAGGCCTGTTTAGCAGCTCTGGAGCTCAAAACGCATCTAGAGTTTTGGCCGCCTCCACCGGTCTTCTGGCCCACTGTGCGCCAGGCCGGCCAGGCCAGAGCGCCGATGCGCCAAGGCGTGCACCGAGGCTAGCAAAGGCGTGCGCCGAGGCTAGCAAAGGCGTGCGCCGATGCGCCAAGGCGTGCGCCGAGGCTAGCAAAGGCGTGCGAGGCGCAAGGCGTGCGCCGAGGCTAGCAAAGGCGTGCGCCGAGGCTAGCAAAGGCGTGCGCCGAGGCTAGCAAAGGCGTGCGCCGAGGCTAGCAAAGGCGTGCGCCGAGGCTAGCAAAGGCGTGCGCCGAGGCTAGCAAAGGCGTGCGCCGAGGCTAGCAAAGGCGTGCGCCGAGGCTAGCAAAGGCGTGCGCCGAGGCTAGCAAAGGCGTGCGCCGAGGCTAGCAAAGGCGTGCGCCGAGGCTAGCAAAGGCGTGCGCCGAGGCTAGCAAAGGCGTGCGCCGAGGCTAGCAAAGGCGTGCGCCGAGGCTAGCAAAGGCGTGCGCCGAGGCTAGCAAAGGCGTGCGCACCGTATCTAGGGGAACTCTGGGCGCCCGGGAGCCGGCCAGTGACGAAAGTGAGAGAAAAAAGAAAAAGGATTTCACTTTATCATCGTTCACGTGCCAAACCGCATTCCTGTTTCCTCGGCGGGTCAAACCGGGGCAAACCGATCGGCATGGCTGTACTCTTGTAGTAACGTGGTTGTTTGTGTTGTTGTTGTTGCAGCGCGTGGTGGCGGTGGTCGTGGTGCTGGTGGGGTGCCTGCTGTGCTTGCAGCAGGGCGCGCTCGCCGCGCCTCCCTACGAGTTCCTGCAACCCGCCGACAAGCCCCCCACCGTGTTCGCCGCCGACAACGCTTGCTATCACGACGTGAGTGTCCCCCGTCCCCGATTCGCGGGTTCGATCCCCAGCCCCGCCGCCGTCCGGTTTCTCACTGACGTTGTTTCCCGCCCCGCAGGCCGAGGTGGAGACGCTGTGCCAGCGCTGCGCCAAGACCACCAAGTCGCCGGTGGTGTTCCCGATGTGCTGCAACGACAAGGAGGAGGCGCGCGAGTGGTGCAAGCGGTACTTGGAGTTCGGCGTCGGGGCGCCCGCCACGAGCTGAGCACGCTGAGCAGCAAGCTGGCGGCCTCCTCGACTTCCAGCCCCGCCTCCAGCCTCGCCTCCGTCCAGGGCGACCCGCTCGGCCCACCCCTCCGTCCCGAGAATGCCGTCCTCCAGTCGCCTCACCTGTTTGCACCTCACCGCGCCTCTCATCGGCCAGCTCGGCCGCCCGGCGCCGCGCCCCGGAGGTCCTCGCGAAGGCCCTCGCCAAGAACGCGCCCCCTCGCAGTGCGACGGGGCGCACGTCACAGTCTGGGCCTCGTCCAAGCCGGGCGGCAGAGCGCCGCAGAGCGCTCGTCCCATCGGTGTTCGAAGCATTCGAGAAAATAGTATTGTCGCACTCTTTGCTCTGTCACTTACGTCATTGTTAGGGTTAGTTTTATTTATGAAATGGGCCGCGCCCGCGGCGGCTGCCTCCGGACTCTGCTTTTGTCGCTCTGTCTCTCTCGCAAGCATGGCACGCTCCATAGGAGTGCGAGAGAGGCAGAGCGAAGGAGCGCTGCTCGGAGCCAGACTGCTGGGGCTTGCGTTCCTAGTCAGGGGATTCTTCTGTGATAATAACCAATTCGCTAGATCGTGCAACCACAACAAGCTCTCGTCCATGTCCAAAGGTCCACAGAGACCGGTTGCCTCACGGAGGCCAACAAAAGCACACCAGCCCACCGCATTATCCGGTAGGAGAACTAGTCAAATAGTGTGTGGTCCTCCTGTTTCGTTCTAACGGATATATTTTTTTTAGTTACTTCGTTTGAATGTCGCGTCCTTTTGCCTTCTGCACTTTGTAACTTAGATTTCAGTTTTTGTTTCTAGAGTTTCTGATCTTTGATTCCCTTTTTGCTCGCGTTTCGTGTCCTTTATAGCATGTAGCAATCTGTGACCGCCTTCCTCTGTCTTCGATACCACAACCTCATTCGAATCATACTTGTCAAGCTGTCTTTTTATGTGTCCCATTATTGTCACGCTGTCTGTTTAAATGTCCTCGCGAATTCCCAGAAGCAATTAAAGCCATAAATGCAATAATTGCTGAGCTCTAAGTACGATATCTGGGTGCCGAAGTTCGGCGAGTGGGTTCATCTAATTTATTTAATACGAATCGGGCGCGTTCGTAACCTTTATTTTTATTTTTTTTAATATAAAGGAAAGGGTGGGTTGGAACCGACTCCTTCCTTACGCGCCTGGTGATAATGGCTGTGCAGCAATAAATAAGTGACACTTCTTTTATTTAATTGCAAGGTAATTGCATGAACTGTTTTTCGACAGGCAGATTTGGCTCCCATCATCTGTTCTTTTGTTCAAATAATGATGTCAATTTGGTCTGAAAAATGTCAGTTTTCATATCAGTGAAACCGTCCATCTTAAGTCTTTTTATGACTCCTTAAGAAGTATTTTGTTACACCAGCTTACATGGGAAATTGTGAATGCAAGTGCTGGCTGTAAATCAAAATATTGTGATGAATAAAAAAAATATTTAATGTGATATAAGTAGCTCCTCGTTTCGTTTTTCCATTCCAACCTCAAATTCCACGGCGCGTGTCTCTCCAACGCTCAAGTAAATCGGTGGGTACGCAAGGTAAAACAAATTAATTCGACACCTCCTAGGAACAAGCGGCTATCTTCCAGGAGCTTCCAGACACTCGGCTATCTCTCAGTAGCTTCCAGACACTCGGCTATCTTTCAATAGCGTCCAGACACTCGGCTATCTTCCTGAGCGCTTCGGAGACTCGGCTAACTGACTTCTGCGGAGAGGTTAGGGTTGTCCTTTCGATAGCGTTTTTCTTTGTTACACTTATCAAGACATGCTCACGCCATGATTTAAATCTACTCTGACAAACTTTTGACACATTTTGGTTAGGTCCCGGTGAGGGCATTTCAACTGGTTTAAAATATATACGCACCCAAACTCGGGAAGTGGGAAAAGCAGTTAGCCGAGTCTCCGAAGCGCTCAGAAAGATAGCCGAGTGTCTGGACGCTATTGGAAGATAGCCGAGTGTCTGAAAGCTACTGCGAGATAGCCGAGTGTCTGGAAGCTCTCGGAAGATAGCCGCTTGTTCCTAGGAGGTGTCGAATTTACACTTGACTAAATTTTATGATCTGAATGCGTTTTAGTATTCAATCGAAAATGGATACTCGGGATGACCAAGACCTCTGCAAAAATAAAGGACAAAAAAAGAGGTGAGTGGGTTAACTTAGAGGGAAATATAGTCCCGCGAAACAGGGCGGACTTACTCTTTGAAGAGACAGATGCGCCTATCCTTGTTCAGGGCGTTCAAGGTCTCCATGTCGTCTCCGTTCAGCTCGAAGTCGAAGATTTCAAAGTTTTGCTGGATGCGAGACTTGGTCACGGACTTGGGGATGGGGATGGCGTTGATTTGAATCTATAGGGCGAGAGACACGGGAGCATGAACTCACGACTCAAAGCGTGATCCCCATAAACAAATGAGGGAGCAGTGGCGTGCGCAAGGGGGTGTGTGTGTGTCACGACCCCGACCCCCCCCCCCCTTTTGGCCTCTAGACAGCCGCCTGGAAGGTAGGCAAATTGCGTCACTTTCCCCTGTAAGTAGGCAAAAAGCATGGCCTGACCCCTCCCTTTCAAAATTTCTGCGCACGCCACTGTGAGGGAGAAAATGGTTTCGACACTGACCAGGAAGCGGAGCACCACCTGCCCGGGGGTCTTGCCGTGCTTGCGCGCGACCGCCGCGATGGCGGGGTCGTCCAGGATGCGGTCCACCCTGCCGCCGCTCCAGGGCGACTCCGGCGAGCCGAAGGGGCTGTAGGCGACGACCCGCACGCCGTGCTGCGCGCACAGCCCGATCAGCTTGCTCTGGTTGAAGTGCGGGTGGCACTCCACCTGCCGAACGGAGGAAGCGGTCCGTGTAAGTCGGCCGCACAGTGTGGGCACCACAGTCGAAAGGGTTGCCAACCTCAGCCTGCGCCTACTAGGCGACTTCTCGATGGCGACGCCAAGCTACTGCCTCGCAGACAGGCTGGGGTTGGCAACCCTTTCGACTCACTTCACTGCTGCTTCGCGGGAATCGTTATACACCACTGTGGACGCGGCGCCCGCCTCAGCGTCTCTCAGGCCTGCCCGCCCGCGCTGCACGGGATAGGCAGCCCACCCGACGCAGCTCACCCAGGACGAGGCAGATGGGAAGCCTACCCGACAGGCGCGGGCCCTCGTCTCTCTCTCTCTCTTTCTCTCTCTCTCTCTCTCTCTCTCTCTCTCTCTCTCTCTCTCTCTCTCTCTCTCTCTCTCTCTCTCTCTCTCTCTCTCTGTCTGTCTCACTCGCTCGGGCGCGGGCCTACCTGGTTGACGACGGGCTTGATGGCGCACTGGTCCAGCACGCGCTCCAGCTGCGCCGAGTTGAAGTTGGACACGCCGATGGAGCGCACCAGGCCCTTGCGCACCAGCTCCTCCATGGCGCGGTAGGTGTCCATGATGTCCACGTCGCTGAACACCACCTTGCCGTCCGCGTCCGTGGGCACGTAGTCGGGGCCCTCCTTGAAGGCCGTGGGCCAGTGCATCAGGTACAGGTCCACGTAGTCCAGGCCCAGGTTGGCGAGCGACTGGCGGCACGTCGGCTCAACCAGGTCCGGCCGGTGCGCATTGTTCCAGAGCTGCGGCAACCAGCGTGCTTCGTCACCACGACGCACAGTGGGCCAGAAGACCGGCGGAGGCGGCCAAAATTCTAGACGCGTTTTGAGCTGCAGAGTCGCTGAATGGGACTCGAACCGAACGTGTGACCCCATCAATGGATTGCTCTCCGAACGACGAATCCAGTGGTGGGGTCACACGTTCGGTTCGAGATCTTCCGTCCCACTCTGCGCTTCGCGTTGCAGTCTTCGCGATGTCTCACTAACCCCACTACACCTCGGCCCGGCCCGGCCTGGCCTTTTAGCTCGTCTCCGACGGTCTGCTCAGCATGCTCCGACAGGACAGTGATAATTAAGCTACTGCCTGACGAGTCCCAAAATTTCGCCCATATGCACGGTGCAGATGAAGTTGACCTCAGCAATGACCGCAGTAACTATCAGATAAGTCGGAGCTCTAGCAGTGAGTGCTATCGGTCAAAAAGATAAGCCGATCCAGGGAAGACGTTTGAAGCGTTTCGTTATCTCTCTCTCTCTCTCTCTCTCTCTCTCTCTCTCTCTCTCCCCCACGCACCTTGGTGCAGACGAACACGTCCTCGCGCTTGACCACGCCCTGGGCGATCTTGGTGCGGATGGCGCGGCCGACCTCCGCCTCGCTGTCGTACAGCAGGGCGGTGTCGATGTGGCGGTAGCCGACGTCCAGCGCGTCCAGCACGGCCTGCTCCACCTCCCCGACGCCCTGCGCAACAAGGGGGCCTCGGCGGTCGTGTTTGGGATCGGCGAAGGGGCGTGGCACAGTGGGCCAGAAGGCCGGTGGAGGCGGACAAAACTCCAGACGCGTTTTGAGCTCCAGAGTCGCTAAGCAGGACTCGAACCGAACGTGTGACCCCATCAATGGATTCCTCGTCCGGAGACCAATCTGGCGGGGTCGCACGTTCGGTTCGAGTCCCTTTTAGCGACTCTGGAGCTCGAAACGTGTCTAGAGTTTTGGCCGCCTCCACCGGCCTTCTGGCCCACTGTGCGTGGCGGAACGACACGAAGAAGGTCACTTACGGCCTGCGCGTCCTCGCCGTTACTCGGTCCCCGAACGTGGACCCCAAATGGGATTTCCTCGTGGAGACCCGATCCTGTTTGGCGGGGCCCCGCACGTTCGGTTCAAAAAGGTCCCTTTTTAAAGCGATTCTGCGAGCTCTTAAACGTGGTCTAGAGTTTTGGCCGCCTACCTGTTCTGCCCACTTCTGCGTGGACCTGAAGACACGAAGTCAGGTCACTTACGGCCTGCGGAGTACTGTGCCCGTTACAGAATCCCCTGTAAGGGGACACGGAGAATATTGTGAGGGGCCCTCGGGTGGATTAAGCGTTTACGCATTTTCCGAGCTTGGGCCGCAGCGGGGCGGAGGGTCAGGTCAGCCAATGTCACGACAGATCGAGTGTGCATGGGCATACGTAACAATATTGACATGCACACACACTTAGCCCAAGCAGCAGCTTGGAAGGACAAGCTCGGCGCCAGGCAGGCAGGCCTAGGGTGGCCCACGCGAAAAAAAAAGTTTCAAAATCGAGAAGCGCCGCACGGAATCTTAAAGTTCGGCCCAAAATAAAATTTTTCCGCATTTTTTCGATTTTTTTGGAGCATTTTTAGGGGTCGCGCAACGCGCTCAAAGTTTTTAGAAAAATAATGAATTTTAGTGAATAATATTTTTTGGTGCTGTAATTCGAGTTTTGGTCGTAAAGAGAAAAGCGAAACGCCGAATTGTTTGTATTGATGCCTAGAATAAGTTAAAAAATCCTAGGAGTCACGAAGTCAATTTGATTATTGTGTAAGAGTGTGGAGAAAGAAAAGAAGTGGTGTTGTGAAGTTGTGGCTCAGGGGACTACCAATGGCAGTGGCAGTGGTACCAATGTGGTCGATGTGCCATCCGTCGAAATTTAAACTTGACAATAAATAGAAATCAAAATGCTGGTAAATTCAAAAAATTCCAATGCTAATGTATTCCGCAGTGTTCTGACAATGGAACATCTTTGAAGTCCATGTTCTTAGCAGAAAGAAGTCAGTAAATTAATTTTCTCGGGTTGGCAACTATTTTCTCGGCGTCTGCGCCCTTGCGAAAATCGCGAAGCTGAAAGCGCCAGCAGTCGCGCATTAAAACTGCCCCTCCATTGTTGTGGACGTTGAATTGTTTGGCTTGTTTCAAAAGGCTATGGTTCTCTAGTCATGTTTTCTTCAATTCTGTGTAATAGTTCTCCCTTACAACGTATCAACACCACGACGGTTGGTTTGACAAACTTCATAAACTCGGGAGGGATGGTTTCGAAACGCGGGTGAGTCTTGTTCGAGGAACATGAGCACTGCAAGTCGCGAGGTGGAGCGAAGTGGTCCTAGTGCTAACTGAATCACAACAACAACACTGCGCATGTCCAAAAACACTCCAATCAAGAAGTATTATTGGATAGTTCTACCCGAAAAACTGCGTTCGAACCGGCACCAATTCTATTGTTGCATCTTGTCTACCTGCAGTCAAAGAAATTTTTCATTTCGAACGTTGCTTTTTCAGCTTTTGGAGTAAGCTGTACAGACCCAAAAAGAAGCTCGGCTATTGGTCCGCCCCGGCTCGGCTCCCCCCACTCCCTTTTTTTTCCTTTGACGAGTCGAGTTTTGCCATGGAAACGGCGATTTTGACAGCAAATTTCTCAAAATTGGCCACCAAATTTTTGACCAGATTTCAACATCAGAATCAGCGTTCAAAGTTCTACTAGTCTGCAAAATCTCATTAAAATCGTATAGAAAACTTCCGAAATGCATAAAGGGCCACACAAATCAAATCTCGAGCCGGCTGAGTCCTGGGTATACTATAAGGCTACTTCGTGCCTAAAAATACTGCATACCGAATATGCACATGGCCTACTTTCCAGGGGCCAAAAGCTGCAAAAAAATAGGGGGAAAATGCCGTATTTTCATCTTTGTAGGCAGATTTGACAACTTTCCCGCCGTCGGATCGTCTTCTCCTATGCGCCAATCGATTCCTCACACTGAGAGGACCCCTAGAAACACCTTGGACTATGCAAGTAAACGACTGCCTATTTTCTAGGGGCGATCAATTTAAAGAAACGTTCGAACTTTGTGCCTTTTTTCACCTTAAAGGGCCAGTTTGACACCTTTCTGGGCGTCCTATCGTCTTGCTCTGTGCGCCAATCAACTCCCCATGATGCGATAACCCCTAGAAACAACTTGGACGATGCGAGTAAACGAGTTCCTATGTTTCAGGGGTGAACAATTTAAAGAAACGTTCGAAATTAGCGTTTTTTTCACCTTTTGGGGTCAGTTTGACACCTTTCTAGGCGTCCTATCGTCTTGTTCTATCCGCCAATCGATTCTTCATGATGAGAGAACCCCTAGAAACACCTTGGACGATGGGAGGAAACGGTTAATACCTGATTGGCGGTGATCAGATGGCGGTTAAGGCTGCAAATTGTGCGAAACCGGCCAAAACGGCTTAAAAAGAGGTCCCTTTCATGCTTTTCTTGATTTGATGGCACCCGACAGGTAGCCAATCCTCAACCCATTGTATCAAAGTTGTGTTCCAGGGTTCTCTCATCATGGGGAATCGATTGGCGCATAGCACAAGGCGCTAGGACGGCTAGCAAGGTGTCAAACTAACCCCAAAAGGTGAAAAAAAGGCTAATTTCGAACGTTTCTTTAAATTGTTCATCCCTGAAACATAGGAACTCGTTTACTCGCATCGTCCAAGTTGTTTCTAGGGGTTATCGCATCATGGGGAGTCGATTGGCGCACAGAGCAAGACGATAGGACGCCCAGAAAGGTGTCAAACTGGCCCTTTAAGGTGAAAAAAGGCACAAAGTTCGAACGTTTCTTTAAATTGATCGCCCCTAGAAAATAGGCAGTCGTTTACTTGCATAGTCCAAGATGTTTCTAGGGGTCCTCATAGTGTGAGGAATCGATTGGCGCATAGGAGAAGACGATCCGACGGCGGGAAAGTTGTCAAATCTGCCTACAAAGATGAAAATACGGCATTTTCCCCCCTATTTTTTTGCAGCTTTTGGCCCCTGGAAAGTAGGCCATGTGCATATTCGGTATGCAGTAGTTTTTAACTTATTCTAGGCATCAATACGAACAATTCGGCGTTTCGCTTTTCTCTTTACGACCAAAACTCGAATTACAGCACCAAAAAATATTATTCACTAAAATTCATTATTTTTCTAAAAACTTTGAGCGCGTTGCGCGACCCCTAAAAATGCTCCAAAAAAATCGAAAAAAATGCGGAAAAATTTTATTTTGGGCCGAACTTTAAGATCCCGTGCGGCGCTCCTCGATTTTGAAACTTTTTTTTTCGCGTGGGCCACCCTAGGCAGGCCCAGGCCAGGCAGGTGCGAATCCAGGTGTGTGTGTGTGTGTGTGTGTGTGTGTGTGTGTGTGTGTGTGTGTGTGTGTGTGTGTGTGTGTGCAGCCGCGTCAAAGGTAGGCCGAGGTAGGCAGAAAGTCGCACTTGGCCAGTGGCAGTCGGCAACTGTTGCGGTTTTGAACTCGTCTCTGGATCCGCACCTGCAGGCAGTGCACAGTGGACCAGAAGACCGGTATGGAGGCGGCCAAAATTCTGGACGCGTTTTGAGCTCCAGAGTCTCTAAATGAGACTCGAACGGAACGTGTGACCCCACCTATGGATTGCTCTCCAGACGAGGAATCCATTGGTGGGGTCACACGGTCGGTTCGAGTCCTGTTTAGCGACTCTGGAGCTCAAAACGCTTCTTGAGTTTTGGCCGCCTCCAACGGTCTTCTGGCCCACTGTGCAGTGTGGCCCTAATAGAAAAGTGAAGTCCCTCTTGAGTCTTTTTTGCCAAGTCCCTCTGTAGTCCTTATTTGAAAACCCTCCGAAGTATCTAGATGGTGCATTTCAGGGATTAGGGATTTCGGGTGAAAAGGGATTTCAAAGGGACTTGAAATCCCTCCGAAGTCTCTTTTGGAGGCAATAGAAAAAGAGGCGGACGGAGTTGAACCATGGGTCTTCATCTTACTGACAGGAGACGTTATCCACTGCGCTGCCTGCTCTTCGTGGAGGGATCGGGTCAGCCTGCCTACCACTATCTGCCGGAGCCCAGTCAGGCGCAAGGCACTGTCCGTTGCAGTTTTGCGAGGTTGATGGTTGTACTAGGGGGTTTTAAGGGCAGATAAACGCAACGGTGCCCTCCGTTTTCTCCTCAAATGCATATTTACAAGAATAATACGATGATCAATATTCAAATTTGAATAAGACATTGCTTTTTATCATGATAACTTTGACAGTAGGTGACCAGTATTTGGTTTATTCCGATTTCGTTCATACAATGCACACAATCAACTTTACTGAATGAAACTCATTGTGAATTACGAATATGAGTCCATGCAAGTGTCTACACGCATGGTGTTGTGCATACATTTGTCAAAGTATTGAGAGGTCATACGCTTACTTTCAGGGACTTGCGAGAGATTTCACAGACCATCCTGCCAGATCAGGGACTTCGGAGGGACCTGGTCGGGGGAGGGACTTGACAGGGACTAAGTATGGACTTCAAATCTCCTGAAATCCCCGGTGGACTTTGGAGGAACAAAATAGGAGCCATCCAGGGACTTCGTTTTCTATTAGGGGGTGCCGCCTTGGCGTATACCTTGTACGTCCCCAGGCCGAGGACGGGGATGCGGGTGCCGTCGTTGAGCAGGGCGGTGGGCGCGAGTTTGGCGGTCGGCAT